GCACCCGCAAAGTTTGGGTCTCGTCGCAGGCTCTTCTGCGTAGGCCTGCTAGATTGTACCCGCTCGTCCCAGGCTCTGCTTGGGCTTGTGGCACCGAGTACTTGCTGCTGTTTCTGCGCCCACGCTCGAATGCAGATTGGCAGTTACTTTCTGAAAGACAGCTTCGTAACTCTGGCTTTCCGGTTACATAATAAAGGGTCGTTACGTAGATCTTATAGTTGATAAACGTACCAGGAATTCATAATGTAACCTTATTTTGTAAGGACTAACAGGCGTTTTACAGAAACTCGTGTTTACCAGGGAAGAAGGGGCTGGTTTGTTTGACTTTCTATGTAAAGAAAGCCACAAGACTGTCCCTAATTATTATTTTTGGTGCAATAACAGTGGTTGAACTACAGTGTGACTTAAATTGCAATGCAAATGTCGTTTTTTCTGTGAAGTCCTCTGCAACACACTCATTTCTTAGATTGTTTTAGTCTCTGAGCCTGTGTGGTTGAATTTGCTGAAGTTTTCAGCACGTAAGAAAGCAAAGATGGAAATAGAGGACATTCATCTCTCCCGTGGTATGGGTGCTTGTATTTTTTGGCTATACTGGATTTAATAAAAGAAAATTTCAAGGCAAAAGGAGAAACTAATGCGAGGCACTTCCTCTTAACTGTCAGGTTGAGATCTATCTATTAAAAATGTTTTGAAGTCTCATGGTAGCTTTGGTATAGCAAAGCATAGCTTTGGGCCTGTGCATGTTTTTGTCTAGTAGTTGAAAAGGTTTGGAGTGCATTAATGTTCTGTGTGGGAAGTAGAGATCAACTGCTGATGAGACATAGCTGTTTTACAAAATACTCTAGTGTGATATTTGTTTTGATTGGAGACTGCTGCTTGGTTTGTCTAATTAAGTTTATACAGGGTATTCTTAGCAATATTAGGAAAGAATATTATTAGTAATAACTACCTAATGCAGGTGTTACCTGATTCGTTAAGTATAGCTGCATTAAGAAAGTACAGTTTCATTAAATTTTGCTTTTAAGTTTTTGCTCTTACTGTATGAAAAATACTGTTCTTACTACTCCACAAGAAAGAAAAAAAATTGTAAAGAATTGTGAAAAACATGAAATAAACCAAAAATACAGAAGACAAATGGTATTTCCCTGTGGCCTGTCTTGATTGTAGTAATGTGAAATGTTACATAACAAAAGTAATGTATTCTCTTTTGCTGGAATCTTTTTTTAATGATATTTCAAGTGATACATGAAACAGCTAATGTCTTTCATTCTAGTAAATGGTGGACCTAATATTGTTCTGGTCATATACTTAATACGTAAGTGTAATTGTGGGCTTGATCCATTTAATTCTGACAGGTTAATTCTTCTTTCTTAAACTTTTCACAAAAGTTATGAAACGTGATTCTTTCCAACTATTCCACTTCAGAGTTTTGCTTACTTAGAGCTATCTTTTCTTGGCTCTGGTGACAATAGGCAATTCCTTTGAACACTTCTGCCTTCTGTTTCTCAATTATAATCATGCAAGGGTGATCACGAAACACTTTGAGAGTTGTTGATGATGAGTACTAGGTAGGAGTTGTATAGCGTTATTAGACAACAAAGCAGTGAAAAGCACAAGAAGGCCAATGGAATCATTGGTCTGCTAGATTTTACAGAACTTTTTTTTTTTTTTAATTTCTTCACCCTTGATTATCTTTCTCTATACATAGAGCTCATGAAATCTGAATAGTAACACCTGTAAGTTAATGTCTCACTGTTCCCTTGTAATAGCTTTGTCCTGAAGATAAAATTTGTCTTCTGTATCTGTTGTAATACAACTTCTTCCCTCTTCCCCACCCCTGCAAAAAGACAAGTCTTTGCTACTTGTTGTAATCATCTTTTTGTAAACAGTATACCATTCCTTTTATTTTAACTGTATGTCTATAAACTCCTGTGTTGCTTTTGGTCATATTTCCCTTGATTTTATAAGTATCAGCTCTCAGCAAGGGCTTGGTGGTTTTGCTTTGCCCTTGCTTTTGCGAGCTAGCCTGATTAAGTGAGTTAGTCTTGGCCCTGACTGTCACCAGCGAGGGAAGTTTGCTGGGTCTACAGCTGTCTGGCTGTGCTGATACCATAGGTAGTTTACATCAAGAATGATGAACTTGGTGGTGACAGCCACAGCTCTGTCTATTCAGTGCTCCACCTACACAACAGGTGAGAAACTACCCAATTCTCCTTCTGTGCCGCTATGTGTCCTGCAGCTAGTTTATAGCAACGAGTAGTTTGCTGTGTAAACTGTTGGAGGAGTTGTTTGTAAAGAGTTAAATAGCTCAGTAGTTCGAGTATATTTAAACTGTGGATTGCTTTGCAATATTTTTTTATGTTTTAAATAATCCGCTGAATACTGTTAACTTTTTAAATACTTATCTTAATTGTCATTTCAGGATGACACAGAAGAAAATTCCAATGACGGCAGCCAGCCGTCCAAAAGACGACGTATGGGCTCAGGGGACAGTTCTCGGAGCTGTGAAACTTCTAGTCAGGACCTTGGGTAATACCATTTTTTACAATTCCCGCTTTTTTATTGCTAGTCTTACTGTATTGTTTGATATGCTTAAGTATTAGCTCTTCTTTCTTTGCTTGTATATTCTTCATTTATCTTTCTGAATCGAGGCAATGTCCTATGAGTAGCTCGCTGTCTTTTTCTTCCAGCATATTTTTAGACATTTGGAATGACACAAAATGTGATGCATCTTAATTTGCAATCAGAAGTACAGCTTACATGTTTTTAAAATATTACATATTTTTGGAATTAATTCTGACACTGTAGTACCTGCTTTTCCTGGTGTCCTGCCTGCTATCATGAATATCCCTTTCTTCAAAATCTGTCTCAGCATATTGGTGAATGCTGGTTTGGAGAAATATATGTGAAGTGGGGTATAGCTAAATGACTTTGAAATAGATTAACAGGATGCAGTATTCTAAAGTGCTTGTCCAACTTCATAGATGTTGTTCATGGACATAAATAGGATTAGTGAATTTCTGGAAATGTAAGTATCCTTAAGAATTCTTTACTTTGTTCTATCTTTTTTTTTATGCTTAGATACAGCTATTTCCCTGCGGAAAACTTAATAGAATACAAGTGGCCACCAGATGAAACAGGAGAATACTATATGCTTCAGGAGCAAGTCAGTGAATATTTGGGTGTGACTTCCTTTAAAAGAAAATATCCAGGTATTTATGTTTTTAAAGTTTGTCCTCTAAAACATCTTTGTATAGTTTGGATGTAATATTTGTCTTTTTGACTACAGCATGAACCAACTGATAAAAAAAGACCCTGGCAAAAGTAGATCTGAATTATGTATGTTGTACTTTTTGTTACTGGCATATTGAAAATTTATCCTGCGTTTTTCGGAGTAACTGGAGACTTTTTGGTATTGCCACTGACAATCTGTGAGCAAGTCTGATCTGGGGCTTAGATCAGCAAGTACCTTTTGAAAACTGACCTCAAATTTATTTTTAGGTGTTTTGTTGGTGATTTCTTACTATATAGCTCTATTTTCTGTTTCTTGAATTGTGGCAGCGTTTCTACACTGTAGAAGAATTTAAAAAAATTGATTGGGGAGGTTCTAGAATTTGAGCCTTCATTATTCAGACTTGTCGAATCTAGTTCTTTTGTTATGGAATTTATTTTTTAAAAAGCGTATTAAAAGAAAAAAAAGAATGTACCTTCCATGCTTGATAGTGTTTTCTGCATCCAAGCTCATATATCAAGTTTCTTCAGTATTCCTGTAAATTATAAATACAGGCAGGGTACTCAGAAAAATTGGCCATGGCCCTACAGTGTATATTAAATCTAAAACTAATTTATAAAATTATCATGTTTGTAGGAATAGTAGTATAATACAGACTCTCACTGCCTGGAAATAAAATTGTCAAAATACTTTGGCATTGTTTATGGGGGAGTTTGAGTAACTGCGCACATTTTTTATTGCTTTTTTTTGTTTGTTTTCCTTGGAGATTTAGAAAGACGAGATCTATCTCACAAGGAGAAACTCTACCTCAGAGAACTAAATGTTATCACAGAGACTCAGTGCACACTAGGTAAGAAAACAAATTGTTAGATTTCTTGTTACAGTTTTAAAAATAGGACACACTGAAATGTGATTTGGTTTGGTAGAGGAGGATTACGTCACTCTCAACTGAAAACATAAATTCCAAAATGAAAACTGGATTATACTTAATATTTAATTTGTGTAGATTGGCTATGAGGTATCAGTATTCCAGATGTATTATAAAACCCCAAATTTTGGATCTCTTCTAATTACTTAGCAAAATCCCTTCTATGTTGTAAATTAACTTTTAGAACCTTTTTCTTCTTCTAGAAAAGAGAATACCTTAATTCTTCAAACTAAAAAGTACATTGGTGGTGTTCTGCTGAGTTAGTTGGAACTCAGCAAACATTAGTGTATCTTATACGGTTAAACTTATATGTTAGAAGGGTGTATGTTAAAGCATTTTAATGTACTTGAAATGGAACAATGTCATCGATGTGGCTTATATTGAAAGAACTTTTAAGGTTTTTTTTTTCTTCCTCTGCTAATACCTGTGACTTGAAGCATGTTAGAGATTATGGCTGTTGTGTTTTCTTCTGTGTATCGAAGGTCTGTGCAAATGTTATGTCATTTTATATACTGATGGTCTTTGGCCTACCACCTTTATTTCTCACCAGCCAGCTCTCTTGATTTATTTATTTCTTTTTAAACTTAAATTTGCAGGAGAGAACAGTATGTAATTTTTATCAGTAGAAGCAAAATGCTGTATATCCAGTAGAGATGTGTGCTGTGTTAACTATTCCTATTTTTAAGGTTATATTTATAATCAGTGATAGTAGCATAAATCAACCTCCATTCTGTTGTCAAGGTTTGGAGATTAGGTGGAACCTTTAAAGGAGGAGTTCTGCATTGTAGCTGCAAACTGAGGCATTCTGACTTCTGAACTTCAAATACTTTAATTAGGAGACAGGTCTTTGTGCAGTTTGCTACTCTAAATTGCCCTCACAGTGATTCTTCCTTGATTTGTGTAGCAAGGTTATGTAAACCTCATAATTTCACTTAGGTTCTGCAAGTTAATGAAACTACCACTTCACCGATATTGGAAACTGAAACTAGCAGTTCACCAGGTCCTGCATAGAACAAAGGTTCTGCCTCACAGGGGAGTTTAGTAGGTGCCCGAGTCAATGTGAAGGGGTCAGTAGCTGTAAGCAAGAAATGAAATCAGCCTCGGCTTCTTGAGTGGAAGCAAACTCCTCGTCAGCTGTGAAAGCTAAATAGCACAAGTTCATTCCTCCTTGAGAGAGAGAAGCCACGTGCACAGCAGGTTGTTGTCTTTAGCTGCCCAAAAACTTGAATTTTGTGGGATATAAATAACCTACAGTTAATTTTACCAGATAGCATCATTATTACTTTTATCTATTTTAGGTCTAACAGCTTTGCGTAGTGATGAAGTAATTGATCTTATGATTAAAGAATACCCTGCCAAACATGCTGAGTATTCTGTTATACTGCAAGAGAAAGAACGTCAGCGAATAACAGATCATTATAAAGAGTACTCTGTAAGTAGCTAGCATATAAGTGAACCAGATCTGTAAAATGTGGAGTATAAGAAAAGGCTGTTCTCAAACTGATAGTGAAATCTATGTGAATTAATAAAATTGTTTTTATTCCAGCAAATGCAGCAGCAGAACACACAGAAAGTAGAAGCCAGTAAAGTTCCAGAATATATTAAAAAAGCTGCCAAGAAAGCTGCAGAATTCAACAGCAATTTAAACCGAGAGCGGATGGAAGAAAGAAGAGCCTATTTTGATTTACAGACACATGTAGGCAGATTTAATTTTCTTATCAATGTCAATAGGTAGCTCCTTGCTTCTTCTAATAAAGTTGGTTTTGGTACTATTTTATTATCAAGAGGTTTGATTAGTCTTGTTTCAGTCATGTAGGGACTTAAACAGATTTGCTGTTAAATGAGTAATACTGCTAAAAATACTAATCTCAAATATGTTTAATGTGAAAACTTTTTTAAAAACTTGAAAATACTTGTCTCAGGAAGTTTTAAAAATTTCAGTGTTACTTTGTTGTCATGTCTTTAATCTGAAGGTAGGAGCATAAAACTGAGGGAGATGTTCAGGTTACTAAGAAGCTTCTGTTGCTATTGTATCTATTCATGTAAATGGCTAATTCTTTTTTGGAACACCTCCAAAATTTTGCCTGAACAATACCTAGAGTAAAAAAGTAAATTGTTTATCCTCTAAAAGAATGCTACCTGTCAGTGTTATGCCTTTGTTTTTGTTAGGTGTTATATTATTTTTCTATTAGACATATTTCATGCTTCTGTGCCTGATTTAAAAAAAATAAGCTGGCATTTTGAAGCAGGTCTGTTCTGCTTGTGTAAAGACAGTAAAGTAAAAATTTTATCTATGCAAATTATTACATGGCAGTTTATTATGGAAAGTTTATGCTTTTCTGTTATTGACCCATGTTATAGACAAGATAGTGGGTAATTAGTTTTATTTCTTTCTAAGGGAAAGAAGGCTTCTGTGTAAGCTTCTCCTTTCCATATATTTGTATTATTAATGGGATTTTTTTATAGTACAGTCTGGTTTCAGAATTAGATGGACATGTTCTTGCTATCCTCTACCAATGTGGACCAACAATGGTAAAGATGCCAACATGCTAAAGATGCCAATCACAAAAATGAATGTTTACTGTTTCAATTGTTAGATTGTAATTTTTAAATTCTTTTACATAATATACTGTTAGAAGTAGTCTTACCTCATATTTGTTCAGGTCACTAGATACTCAGTGATTGGACTTAATCCATAATACTGTTTTGTGAGTGGGATCTCTTACTGTTTTAATAAATTGGATTTCCTATGGGAGAGCTCAGGTAGCTGTTCCAACCAATAAAACTGGCTAGTTAAAAAATATTTGGGAGGGTAGATGGTGAAGAAGGCTCAAAAGTTTTTATGTAAAACAAAAACATCATTGTTTTGTATTAAACAATACAGATTATCCAGGTGCCTCAAGGGAAATACAAAATCTTACCTACAGAGAGAACAAAGGTTAGTCCTTATCCAGTGGCTCTCATACCCGGCCAGTTCCAGGAGTACTACAAAAGGTATTTTAAAAGCATCCTAACTTCCGATTCTGTTGCACTGATCTATTTTCTCTACTTCTAGCAGATGGAAAACATTTCAGTGTATTTACTGTAAGGTTTTGAATTCATTTTATGTTTGATACACTTGCTAGTCTAATAGAGGCGTAGCGTGACAGCTTTTGTCAGCAAAACAGCACTGACTGCAAGAGTACTGTCTCTGCTGATGTGTTGCAGTGCCTGAGATTGGCCTGCTCAGATACTTACTGTGGTAAAAGGAGACATTGATTTCACTCCTGCTCACCTCATGTGTTTGCTTATCATGTGCCTCTGCATGTGTGCTAAGATTAATGTTGCTGTTTCAAAATGTTGTAATGCTGGCTTGTGATTACATGTTTTCTGTGTGACAGTCTTACTGGGCTAAGTTTAATGTTGGATTTGTAAGTCAGAGAGAAAGGTATTGCTAGTTGGATCTTTATGTTTCATAAAAAATGTGTACTTGGCTGTCTGCACAAATTTAAGACTTTACCTGGTGGCGTGCTCCCATTTGACAAATACATACTGATTTGAAAATTGTTGCCTAAGTCTTACCATCTGTACAACAGAGATGGTACTCATTCCATGCATGCACAGTTTTCTTTAGAGAAGCTCTTTATCTGCATATATCTCGCACATTCCAGTGTGTGTGCATACAGCCCACCCCAAGTTTGCATGTTACAGCACATTCTTGAAGGGCTTCAATTTTATTAAATTAATCGAACTAAAAATACTAGATATCTTGTTTATTTTGCACTTATAAGCTGCAAGTGAAACTGCTTATCCTCCTTAATGAAGGACACAACCTTTCAAAATATGCGTCAAAATAATATCCAACCACTTACAATGCCTGTCCTTAATAGTAAGAGGACTTTCACTTTTTTTTCTTCGTATTTAAGGTTAAAAGAGAAAGGGTAGATTACATGTGTTAAGCTGTATATGGCTATAAGCAATATGTTGAGATCTTAATGTTCTTCTTAAATTATATTTTTATATGCATTTTTTTTTCTCCTTCAGTAATCAAGGAACTCAGATGTATAGCTATATTCTTTACTTACTTTGCTTTGGACCCTAGCTGTTCGTGTGCCCAGGGGTAGAAATGTTGTGCACGTGCTGTGTGGGCACTGTACATTTATGAACAAAGTGTATAGTCTGTTGGGTGTAGTAACGTGGATTGGCTAAAGATTTTTAGGGGTTCCGTGACCTCTTATGATTATGTAGGTTTGGAACATTGCAAATAATACTCTTCCTGTGTTCCACAAGTATCTGTTGTACAAAGAAGACAAGTACTAGATGGTACTGTGTTTGGGAGGAAGAATTAGTATGTTTCTTATCTTTTCAGAACTCCATGTTTTTATCTGCCTTCCTGAAAAAAGGGAGATTTTCTTACTTTTTCTCATCAAAGTCCTTGTATGCCGTGTGACTTAGTACTTATGCATAAAGTACACATGAATTAATAGAATTTCTTTATTTATGTCTTAACTTTAGATACTCTCCAGATGAACTTCGTTACTTGCCATTAAACACAGCTCTTTACGAACCTCCTTTGGATCCAGAGCTGCCTGCGTTAGACAGTGATGGAGATTCAGATGATGCAGAGGAAGGGCGAGGTGATGAAAAACGGAAACCCAAAGGCAATTCGGTGAGACAAATTGAAAGTGTTCTTCAACAAAAAAATCCTTTCCCTTCAATTTTGTTAGTTTCAGCAGTTTCTTAGTAGAGTCTTTAACATTTACAAAATGAAGGAGAATTGTAAACTAAAAGCGTTCTCCCTTTTTTAGTCCTTCCCTTTATTTTATAACATTGCTCTCCAGCTTTCTGTTTGATCCATTTTTAAAGTAAATCAAACAAATATTTGACATTTCAGGCCTTTTCTTCCTTTTTTAAAAAAAGAAATCTTGAACAATCTTCCCAACCGCAGCTCTTTGTTATGCCCTTTTTTCCCAAGGGGAAGTTTCTGGCATTTCTGAGGGGAACGAACACTGTAGTTCAAGTCACAGTGTATTTTGGTATTGAAGTGCCACAGAATCTGTCACTAAAGCAAAGGTATTGACAGCCTGATAACTTTTTCTTCTTGTGATGTAGAAGTAGGAAGTACTCAATATAGAACCAGTTACTTTATTCCAATTTAAAGAGAATGTAAAAAGCACTGTTTTTTTACTTTATGATACATCTTTAAAAAGATGTTTATGTTCTCTCTATTCATGCAAACGCAAAATTAACTGTTACTGGAAGTTAAGGGAAACTTTCATGTACCTACCTTGATAGTGTTTTAAGTGCTCAGGAGCAGCTGAGCTTCAGATGAGCTGTCTGAGTACAAGTGAACCATTGGTACATTGGTGTAGTTGGTTGGTTGGTGACAACCACTTTCTAGAAGTTTAACCCTAATTTTAAGAGAAAGAATGTAAAATCACAGGTGCATTTAACAGTTTCTAGTTCAGCTGATGAACATGTTAGATGGTGGGTATATATAATGCTAAATTTTGCCATACAAACATTTTTTGAATGTTCATAAGATACTCATGACTGAAAAAGGAAGGAAGGAGTCAGCTTGTAGGCTAACAAGGGAGAGACAGTTGTTACTACGCCCTTTCTGCTTGCATTTTTTTGAGAAAAAGAAATCATATAAACTTAGTGTGCTAAATGTAAATTCAAAATTTTGGTTTAATTGTACTCCAGCTTTTTTACAGTTGGTCTTTAACCGTTTCTTCCCAGTTCCCTTTTCCACTGACTTCCGTTCCCCTTTATGGTAAAGAAAAGTAACTGGACTGAGCAGACTATTCTTTCCTTTTTCACTGAAGTTCAGAAGTCTTTTTGGTGACACAGTGCAGAAGGGAAAATGTCCTTTTGTTGGAAGAGTGTAGGGA